ATTTTGGGTTAAATATTCTGATGAGGGACCTATATCCAAAACAGACAATTTTCATAACATAGGCTGTAGCCTGTTATTTTGAGCAATTGGGGCTAAAGATATCTGCCAAGGTTCAAGCTTCAATTCACTATCCAGATTCCTGCAGTGAACGCATGTGCAGATGATGACAGTATGAGGCATGACTGTGATGCTCTTTCCATGTTGAGTAACCTGTGACATTCACAGCTGGAAATTTGGCAGGATGCTATCCTGTAACTTTGGTGAAGGATCAGTGGCAACACTAGTGAAACTACAAAACACAAACGTCAGCCTTTTTGCTCCTATGATGCTGCTTGGCCTGCTGTGTTCATCCAGCTCTGCACCTTGTTGTCTCGGATTCTCCAGCATCTGCAGTTCCTACTATCTATGTCTTTACCTGCTACATTTAAAACTTCCCTCTTCTCTCCCTGATTAAACTGTTTGCCATTTAAGTGCACAATTTTACGCGTGGAAAATGTATTACTTTGCCTATTTCCAAGAAACATTCACTCTTAAATACCTCAGCGACTTGTCATTCATTGACCTTAAAGGCCTCCTTCAAGGTGTGGTCCAAGTACTTTCTGAAAAGAGATAGAGCCTGAGTAGGTGGCTCAGTTTATAGGTTTGGAGAATTTGTGGCTTGAAGAAGTCCACATCGTTTATGTCAGATTGCAAATAAAATTGTGAATCAAACTGACTACAGATGAGAGATATGAAAGCAAATGCCAGAAGCAAAGAGGGATTATGAAAAAAGACAAGTAGCTAACATAAGAGGGACTCCCAAAATCTTCCAAAAGCACATCAATAGGATAAGGGTGGTAAAGTGTGGAATATGACCAACTAGGGACTGAAAAGGGGATTGATACTTAGAGGCAAGAGGCATGGTTGAGATGTTAAATGAATACATTGCATGTATCTTTATCTACAAGGCAGACTCTGTCTAAGCCATGGTGTCAGGATCTTAGTCACTAGAAGAGCTAATATTGATAAGGAAAAACCGAAAGAACTGTGAATGCTGGAAATCAGAAATAAAAATAGAAATTGCTGAAAAATCTCAGCAGGTCTGGCAGCATCTGTGGAGAGAAATTAGAGTTAACATTTTGGGATGAGTGACCCTTCTTCAGAACAAATTTGCAATACTTTTCAAATTTCTCTCAAAAAAATTGGCAAACATATAACCACTATGGATAGAACCTTCTATATAAGTACTTACGGCTGTGCTCCAATTTCGCGCAAATGGTAAAAGAGTTGAGGAAGGTAGGTCTGAACAAGTGTCTCAAACACCAGACAAAGTGACACAATTCCCTGAAAATAAACAATTAATAGCATTATTGTAACATCCATAACAATCACAATAAAGACAGATTTATTTTTTAGACAGACACTAAACTCCATCCACTCACAAGGAGAACATAATCTGGAAGAACAAATTAACAAAAATCAAGAAATCCTCCCTGTCTTCAACAACATTCTTCCATCAGTCAATCTCACCAAAAACAAATTAAGAGCTCACTTAACTAATTTACTATACATCTGTGGGATTTTGTGTAACTTCTATTTATATTTATTGACATAACAACAACTTGTATTTATCTAGCACCCTAACATATACATATCTCAAGATCAACTCAAAACCAAAATAGGAAACTATAAATGAATAAGTGACGAGTAATGAAAAGCTAGTTGTCGGTATGTCAAAAGAAAACTTTGAAATAATATGAGAAGAGACGTAAGGAGCTTTAAGAAGTATGCCAGGGACAGGGGTGACGGCAGCTGAAGGATCTCCCATCAAAATTGAAGGTGGACTGGGCAAAGGCATCTATATTTTAGAGATTGAAAGATGATAGGTAAAGATATGTAAAATAGAATGATCGAGTCTCAGAAACAAATACATGAATAAAGATTTAAGGTTAGTCAGAGATAAGTGACACTGCAGAGTTGGAAATTTACAGCCTTAGTGATGACTATTTTCATTAGAGATTTCCAGCAGTTGCATTCTTTTTCTTTGACACAGAGCAAAATTACTTTAAATAGAGATTGTTGGTTTTTAAGTAAGTTTTTCACTTTTCAAATGGAAGCCTAATGTTAAGGTTTTGCAGTCAAGTTTAATAAGGGCCATAGGCTGCTGTAAGTGATTAAATCAATGTGAAGGGATGGTTCAATATTCCTATTGTTAAGTTGGGCAACTTGTGGCACATTCATAACTCCATGCCGAACAGGTGCTCTGACAGCAAAGAAATAATTATGTGATCAGGTTATCGAAAACATGTCAGTATGGTAGAACTGGATATCATTAGAATTATATACAGAAATAGACCTTGAACCTGGGGGTGATGTTGCCAAATTTATAACTTGAAGCACCTTAAACGAGGCAGTATTGAGACTTAAAAATACGTCAATGTTGGATATTGTGATGACCCATGTGGTTTTAGGGAGAAATTCACTTGTCATGTAAGAGATGGTTGCTTTTAGAACCGGGTTTTGCCAGGAGAATAGTCAAATTGGAAGAGGTAATCGTGAAGAATAATCTAGAGTGTGTCATCGGGACAGTTTCCTAGAACAATATGTTATGGATCCCACCAAGGATCAGGATAATTTGGAAACAAAAACAGAAATTACTGGAAAAGCTCAGGAGGTCACATCCTTTCACTTTAATGTGATTTTTATTTTTAATTAGTGCCAGAAAAGTTCAGAAAACCTGACAAATTAAAGGGGGCAAGTAGGTTTTGAATCTATAACATAAGGGCATTTAGAGCACTCCTTCTGGCCTAAGAGAAGCTGGAGTGTTTCATTCAAGCCAAAAGGCTGAACTTGAACTCTTTGCAAATCCTGTCATCTATCAACCCATCTCTACTGCCCCTCTGTCCAATCCACTCCAGAGCTGTGAGGAAAAAAAAGAGGATATACTGCTGTTAATTTAAGCGGGATGTCTGAGAAGCCTTGATTTCCAAGTTTGTCAACTAACTGACAGAGATTGATAGTCATGATTAGTCAACAATTCCATTATTGTCATAAGAGGAAATGACCAAAATGATAGAAAGCAAATTACATGGGCCTTAGTTTTGTTTTGTCCAGTAATTCCTATGTGAATCAGATGATAATTTACATGCAAATTACATGTTGACTTCCACTACCTAAACAGGAACATAGCTAAAATTATGGATTATCAAGACAGAATTAATTAATTTAATTACTGAAGCATCAAAGAAACAGCATTGTATTCAGGACAGTGTCCAGCTTTATTTTTCAGATTATTTGAGCTCCAAGATTTAGATTTAGTAATCTGGTTTCTTTTGTTTAGATCAATAATATGCAGATTAATGGTTTATTGTTCACACTAGGAATAAAACTACTGGTCAGTTATGTCACCCTTCCTCAGTGTTTCGTAGACAGATACGTCAAATCAAATAATTATCCTACAGATTTGCCATTTATGGTTTTACTTCACTCACTTCACTCTTCATATAAATGCTGGTTGGAGATAAAATCAGCTAAGAGTACAAATTGGAGGCGCTGTTTTTGTTAAAAAAAAACACAAGGGAACAAAGAAACAATATATTACTTACAATTGAGGCAAATACATTTTAATGTAATCTACCTTAACTGATAGAAATCAAATTCTGGTGAATGAATGCATAACCCTTTAAGAAAAAAAAGGAATTATGTCTTGCTGAATTTTAAGCCTTCATAGAACTTACTGAGGAGTGGGATGAGATGCAATGAAGCCTGAAGAAATATCGCACATACATCTCTCGGAAAACTTGGTAGAGTTTGGATGGCTCGTGGTAGAGAAAACAGAGTGGAGCAACTGCAAGTAAGCAGGAAACAACATAAATAAAATCCATGATTGCACAAGATAAATCATATCTTGGATGTCATACTGACAGCAGCTAATGTTCTTTTACAATCAATCATTATATCCTCAATTTGGAGGCATCACATTAAGTACAAGAAAGAATGCAACTGGAAAACCAAGTGCAAATAGCACTCAAAACTTCATTCAGTTTTCCAAAATGAAATTATGCTTCAAATTTTCGCTCAAGCTTATGGCATAACCACAAATATCAAATTGTCCATGAACCAGTGGTTTAGAATTTTTTGTTTTGCATTTAACACATCCATGATATATTGATAGGCATTAATGAATAACATGCTGCAGATTTACTAATACAGCTAAAATTCAGTTATCAAAATTCTGCAAGTAACCAGATTTTAATAAACTCAAAGTCTTTAAATAACAATGCAGATCGACTTATTTACACATTAGTGTCTAATATCAGTTTCTTGACAAAACAAATGCATTTTAATTTTTTTTGATAAGATGTCTTTTAGTGTTCTAAATGTTAAAAAAAGGCTTAATTTTAAGAATCTCCTTCATGCTCCACAAATAAACATACCTTATTCAATAATTTGATCTGATGCACCACACACTTTTTTGGATGGGCCGACTTCTAGTAAAAAGCTTTATTAAACAATTGCAAAAGATCATGGAAACTCAGGTTGAATGTAGCTTCTTTTGTAATTGTGCTATTGTACAACCTTGGTCATTTATGGGCAAATCATGCCGAAAATGTTAGCATAACCTAGTAGAAACTTTAACCCTGAATGTTATAGCTTTGAGTAGTACAATGAAAACCCATCAACATAAAATCCAAGACTGCAGCAGTTTTCAAAATACTCTCTCACATCCAGTTTTGTGTTTTTCATAAGGCCAGCTAAGTAACATAAAATAACAATACCTAACAGATTAACTATGTTGAAATACAACAAGATTTATGGCATAGGAGAATTTCTTCTAGCTCGTTGTGCATGAGCTTTCCAGCCTAAACAGACTTTCCAATTCCGTGTTTGTAACCCCACTAGTTTTGGCACCTTAAGTATATATCAACTTTCTTTTAAAACATGGGGTGACAGCTTCAGATCTTTTAGTACGGATCTTTGAGGTACCCCATTAATTACAGCCTGCCAACATGAGAATGACTGATTTATCACTACTCTGTTTTCTGTCTGATAAACAATCATTAATCCATGTTAGTACATTACCTTCTATTTCATGTGCTTCAATTTTGCTAAACAACCTCTTCTGGTGACCTTATTAAAAGCCTTCTGAAAATCCAAATATTATATATCTATCAACTCCCTTTTATCCATTTTGTTAGTACCATCCCCAAAAAAACTCCAACATGTTGTCAAAAATGATTTTCCATTCATAAATACATGCTGATAATGCCCAATCAGATTATTGTTATCCAACTACACCTCCCAGTCGCGAACCATTTCAACTCCCGCTCCCACTCCTTGGACGACATGTCCATCCTGGGCTTCCTGCATTGCCACAACGATGCCACCCGAAAGCTGCAGGAACAGCATCTCATATTTCGCTTGGGAACCCTGTAGTCCAGGGGTATCAATGTGGACTTCACAAGCTTCAAAATCTCCCCTCCCCCGACCGCATCCCAAAACCAGCCCAGCTCGTCCCCACCTCCCTAACCATTCCTCCCACCTCAAGCCCCCATCTCCTACCCACTAACCTCATCCCACCTCCTTGACCTGTCCATCCTCCCTTGACCGACCTATCGCCTCCCTAACTCCCCACCGACATTCACCTTTACTGGCTCCAACCCCACCTCTTTGACCTGTCTGTCTCCTCTCTACCTATCTTCTCCTTTATCCATCTTCTATCCGCCTCTCCCTCTCTCCCTATTTATTTCAGAATCCCCTTCCCTTCCCCCATTTCTGAAGAAGGGTCTCGACCAGAAACGTCAGCTTTCCTGCTCCTCTGATGCTGCTTGGCCTGCTGTGTTCATCCAGCTCTCCACCTTGTTATCGCAGATTCTCCAGCATCGGCAGTTCCTACTATCTCTGTAACAATTTTAACCCCACTGCGAAGCCTCTTCTAAGGATGCCCACCCTAAAGAAGTTACCCTCCTCCCTCCGGAAAAATCTCAGTGTATCCCTCTCCCACTGCAACCGTCTTGTAATCTCTTCGGCCCTGAAACTGCTCGACCACGTCCAAAAGCAAACCAGGCACTACAGCCACATTGCCTTTCTGAGTACCTGCCTAAGGAACCGGATCATCCCCAACGGACTACAGTCTACATTTAAGCCTTCCCAATTTGGCCCCAACCGCGACGACCGCTACATTCAGAACATTGATATCCTACAGAAGCGTTTCTCCATGCGACTCCTGAAATACACACTTGCTGCAATGCGCCGGCATCTCCAGATAGTACAATTAAGCCTACCCCAGCTCAGAGCCTCCCTCTCCCAGACCTGCAAAGGACCACTCCTGTTTTTTATTCTTCGTAAAATCCACAACCTGAACTCACAATTCTACTCGACTTTATTGGACACTAAAAATTGAAAGTACTTTAAACTTACTGGTGCCTGCCACCCTACCCAGGACCTTCCCCATCATGTGACTGCTGCCATTGGCCATGTGGCCACCTTCGGAGTACCAACGGTTTCCACGGATGATGTCACATCCGCCGCCGCCCAGTACGCCACGTCCGGTACAGCCAACGCCATCGACACCGCTGCTGATGCCGTCGCCTCCATTTCCGAGACCAACACAGACATCGAGGACGCCGCTGCCACCAACATCCAAGATTTACTGGCCTACGTCGCTCCACCCACCACCAACGTCGCTCCGCCCACCAATTCCACAGCCAGCAGCTCCAGAGGAGACTGTAGCACCCAGCCCTGCCGGGTCTTCACCATCCCCCCAGACCTCCCCCTTACTGAGGACAAACGGTCAGTCCTCAGTAAAGGACTCACCTTTGTCCCCCTCCATCCAAGCATCGACGAATACAACTCACATTTGGACATTGAACAGTTTTTCCGCCGCCTCCGCGCTTATTTCTTTAATCATGAGCCTAACCCTCCCTCTACTGACCCCTTCTCCAACCTCCAACACACCCCTTCCTCCTGGACACCACCCCAAGGCCTCCTACCCTCCCTCGACCTCTTCATCTCTAACTGACATCGATCGCCTCAACCTCTCCACCCCTCTCACCCACTTCAACCTCTCCTCCACAGAACGTGCAGCTCTCCGCTCCCTCTGCTCCAATCCTAACCTCACCATAAAACCCACGGACAAGGGAGGCGCAGTTATAGTATGGCGCACTGACCTCTACATCGCCGAGGCCAGACGCCAGCTCTCCGACACCTCCTCCTACTGCCCCCTTGATCATGATCCCACCCCCGAGCACCAAACCATCATCTCCCAAACCATCCACAATCTCATCATTTCAGGTGACCTCCCACCCACAGCCTCTAACCTCATCATTCCCCAACCCCGCACCGCCCGTTTCTATTTCCTTCCCAAAATCAACAAACCTGACTGCCCTGGTCGACCCATTGTCTCCACCTGCTCCTACCCCACCAAACTTATCTCCACCTATCTCGACTCCATTTTCTCCCCCTTGGTCCAGGAACTCCCTACCTACGTCCGTGACACCAACCACACCCTCCACCTCCTCCAGAACTTCCAATTCCCCGGTCCCCAACACCTCATCTTTACCATGGACGCCCAGTCCCTATACACCTGCATTCCCCATACAGATGGCCTAAAGGCCCTATGCTTCTTCCTGTCCCGCAGGCCCGATCAGTCCCCCTCCACTGACACCCTCATCCGCTTAGCCGTACTCGTCCTCACCCTCAACAACTTCTCTTTCAATTCCTCCCACTTCCTACAGACAAAGGGGGTGGCCATGGGTACCCGCATGGGCCTAAGCTATGCCTGCCTCTTTGTAGGATATGTGGAACAATCCCTCTTCCAAAGCTACACTGGCGCTATCCCCCACCTCTTCCTCCGTTACATCGATGACTGTATCGGCGCCGCCTCGTGCTCCCACGAGGAGCTCGAACAGTTCATCCACTTCACTAACACCTTCCACTTCAACCTTAAGTTCACCTGGACCATCTCTGATACTTCCTTCTCCTTCCTGGACCTCTCTGTCACCATCTCTGGCATCCACCTGGAAACCAATATCCATTTCAAGCCCACCGACTCCCACAGCTACCTAGAATACAACTCCTCTCACCCACCTTCCTGCAAAAAGGCCATCCCCTATTCCCAATTCCTTCGCCTCCGCCGCATCTGCTCACGAGATGCGACATTCCACTCGCAGACATCCCAGATGTCCTCGTTTTTCAAGGACCACAACTTCCCTTCCACAGTGGTCAAAAATGCCCTCGACCGTGTCTCTCGCATTTCCCAGAACTCATCACTCACAACCCCTACCTGCAATAACAACAAAAACAGAATCCCCCTCATCCTCACGTACCACCCCACCAACCTCTGAATCCAACGCATCAGCCTCCGGCACTTCCGCCATCTGCAATCTGACCTCACTACCAAAGACATTTTTCCCTCCCCACCCTTATCTGCTTTCCGGAGGGACCACTCTCTCCGTGACTCCCTTGTCCGCTCCACACTCCCCTCCAGCACCACCACCCCCGGCACTTTTCCCTGCAACCGGAGCAAGTGCTACACCTGCCCCTACACCTCCCCCCTCACCCCCATCCCAGGTCCTAAAAAGACCTTCCACATGAAACGATGTTCACCTCCACATCTGCTAATGTGGTATACTGTATCCGCTGTACCCGTTGTGGCCTCCTCGACATCGGGGAAATCAAGCAGAGGCTTGGGGACCGCTTTGTGGAACACCTACGCTCGGTTCGCAACAAACAACTACACCTCCCAGTCGCGAACCATTTCAACTCCCGCTCCCACTCCTTGGATGACATGTCCATCCTGGGCCTCCTGCATTGCCACAATGACACCACCCGAAAGCTGCAGGAACA